ACTACTACTACTACTACTACTACTACTACGACGACGACGACGAGTCGCAATATTTGTAGTAGTAGTAGCAATATTAAGAGTACCAATCATAATAACAGCCGTAATAATATTTGTAGTAGTAGTAGGAAAGTAGCAGTAGTACTGGTAGTAGTGGTAGTCGTAAAAAGAAATAATACTAGTAGCAGTGGTCGTAGTACCAGGACTCGTAATATTTCAATACGATTACCTAAAGGTTCACCCAATGTGGCTCTTACGACTACAAATACGAAGATTGTCACGACTTCGACTACTACGATTACGACTAAGATAAATGCGAATGATAGTATTAGCAATGGTGCAAATACTGACGTTAATATTCCCACGGCCTCAGTTATGTGGCATCGGGAGGTCATGGATTGCCGCGACATGGGAGGCCACGACGAAACGACGATACATGTGGCGCAGCCCACAAGTTCTTGCTCCGCTCCTCCAAAAACAAAAGCACGACAGCATGCTCGGCGACGAAAACATGCGGGAAACTGTGAATGACGATGCCGCATGTTCTTCGTAGCCGTTGCCAACGGCACCCGGCCTGTAGAAAGCAGTCACTGGTGTTTCTGTGATATATCACGCGCGCTAGCCCCAAGCGCAAGTCGGATACACGGCTTGTAGCTGTTAAATATATACACATTAATGAACAAAAAATAAATACGGGCACACTGCGGCCCTGTGAGGTATCATCGGTTTGACGGCGCATGTTTGGTTCGCCAAACGCTTTTAGTTTTTACATAAGCGAACGACTGAATTGCGTCAACATCATCGGGGGGGCGCGATTCACAGTCGATGGATTGAATAAATGCGCACGTTCGGGGAATCCAAACCCAGGGGATCCCCACCCCCACATGACAACAAAAAAACAAACAACAACGAAAAACAAAGAAAACGGTGGGTCCAAGACCATGGGCCCCCCTTCCCTTAACCCCCCCCCTGCCCCACCCCTCCACCACCAAAAGGCGATCCGCCCCCCCGCCCCCGACCCCCGGAAAAAGACAAATCGGCGGGTCCAGAGACCCCCCCACGGAAAATTACTCGAAGGGTTCTCCCGCAGGCAGCGACGACGACGACGACAACGACGACGACGGCGACGACGAACACGACGACGACGACGACGCCGCTGCCGCCGCCGCCGCCGACGTCAACGGCAGCGGCGGCACACCTGTCGCTGGCGCCCGCGCCAGTTGCGGGCCCGGATAGACTGCTACTAGGGTTCGATCCAACTGTAACAAAAAACAACAACCCTCGAAATCAAACGCAATTCTGATATGCTGGTCGACGCGCGAAACGCGGCCCACGGGGCCAGATGTGCGCGCGCGTGTTTGCTGTCACCAATTTCGACGCGAACGCTGTTAAATTTTGGCGTCGTGTGGCGCCGACACGTCGCGGAAAAAACTCATGCGCGGTTCCGAAGAGGATGCGCTATGCTCGAATCCAGCCCCGAGAGGAAAAGAGGAAAAAGAAAAAAAATGCAAGGCCACCTCCTGGCGGCCGGCGGCCCCCGCGGCGCTCGCGGCGCCGGCGACGGCGGCGGCGCGGGCCGAGCCGGCCGCGCCTGCGGCCGCGGCGCCAGCGCGGCCCGACCAGACATCAGGACGCAGGAAACGTAGCAGTGGAATCAACAAGATAGCAGCCGTGACTGAAGCGCCGACCCCGCGCCGACGCCTCAACGTCGGCTGCCTCGCACGCGGAACCGCGGGACAGGGAAGGGGAGTTCTCGACGCGGCCTTGAACCAGTCGCCACGGACACACACGCACATCTCCCCCGTCTAAGTCGGCGGCGCAAATGACCTTCAGGCGCGGACGGCAGATGGGGGCGCCAATTGCGGTCGAGCGATGTCGAAGGCACGGCGCGCAGCCCGCGCACGCTGCCGAATGCAGCGGTGGGCGGCGCGAAGACAACTGCAAATCCAAGCGAAACACGCAGCGGCCAGAGAACCGATAGGAAAACTCGACTCGAGGTAAACTGAAGCGCAAGCAGTCTGGCGCGAATCGGCGACCACTCAATGACCACTATAATGAAGCGCGCGAACTAGGAATCATCTGCTGCCAGACCAGCCAAAGCGAGCGCAAGAAAGACTCGCCACGACAGCCCGCGCAAGCTGGCGCGCGGCAGCCCAGAGTCACGCCACTGAAACACAGACGGTGGAACAAGGAGCCACAAATACACTGCCGAGTAGATTGGCGGCGCCCGGAGCCATGCAACCGAATGGGCACGGCGTGGACCGACGATCCCAGAAGGCCCGCTACGCGGCGAAAACCGGCAACGTCGCGACCATGACATCCACAGAAAATCATGGAAGCTGAGCCGCGGACGCGCCCAATGCAGGGAGCACCGCAGATAACGCGCGGGGGGCGAGCGCTGCATGCCCAGCCTGTCAATATCACATCCACTGTCGCATCACAAAACTGCAAGGACGAAAAGGGATCAAAAGCACAGCTGCACAACAGCCGAGCGCGGCGAGCAAGCGCCCAGCCAGCCCCGCCGCCGCCACCATGCTAGGCAAGTCGGAAAAGGCGCGGCAGGTCGCGCGGTCGCGCCACCACGACGAGATCACGGGCGAGCGAGTGATCCACCCACGGCATGCACACAGCGACTACCCGCTAGGATAGCCCGGCAGCCCGACCAGCCACCGGGACGACGCGCCCGCGGCATCACGGCGACGCGCGCCCAACGGCGAGCCATGGAAAGAGCTAGCCAACCAAACGCTAGCAAGGTCTGCTGCGCGAGCACCACCCGCAGCCCTCCACGTAGAGAGCACGCGAGAGACGAGGCACCCCCGCGCCCAGGCCCCCCGCGCCGCGGCCAGCCAAAGGGCCCCACAAAGAAGCCGCGGCCCCCTGCGGCGGGGGGGCGAGGCGGCCCCTCTGCCGACGCCGACTCTCGGCGGCCTCGCGGCTCGGCGGGGGGGGGGTCACGGGACGGGGGCGGCGCTGGAAGCACAGCGCGAGTAGCGCGACGAGGCCGGAGGCGATCGCGGCGCAGAAGGAACTGGACGCGCCAGACGGCCGCGGGGGCACCTGCGGACCGTTCTGGACGAGACGCCATGAAAAAAAAACACCATCGGCTGCTAAACCGGGCGAGTGGTGGATGAGACTGGAGAGAGACGGCTAAGCGGGGCAGCAAGAGGAGACGCGCGGCCGCGCCCACAGCACGGCAAGGAAAGGACAGACAGCCGGCAGCGCTGAGACTCCGGCGGCCGAGGCAACACAGCTGGCAAAATACCAGCGGGGCCGAACCAGCGGCTGGAAGCCGCCGAAGGCGGCGCAACCAGAAGAGATTTCGTCGCGCCAGGGACGCGCGGAACAAGAAACGC